TATGTTGGATAAGGGAGACTTAAACCAGCTCATCCCTTGTTTGGGTATCAGCCAGCACGTCAATGACTTAAATCAAATGGGGCTACAAACTGGAATCCACGACATTCGAGTGTGGAGAAGAGCAAACCACTGCTGCAATGCAACCTGAGCCCTGCTACAAGTTAGGTTAGGCAATCCCTCGTTGGCTGAGTAGGATAGTCTTCTAGGATCAGTATTCTGGTGGGTCTGTAGGTGACTGTGGAGCCCTATTCTTGATCTGCATCTTCTCCCACAGTGAGGGCATTGGATTCCAGGTGGAAGGCAGTCTTGGTCAGTGTTGGGTTTTTGTTTTCTTTGGAAGAAGTCTGTGCGTGAGTTTCTTTAATGTGTGGAGGTCAGTGCACAACTGATCAACACGCAGTCTTCTCAGAGTGAGGTTCCACTGGTGGTGTAGTTTAACACAATGACCGTGGCTTCTCAATCTGTTGCAGCCTTCTTCTGCCTTCACAGCCGTTGTAACATGTACCATGTTATCTCTGCTCCGTTGAGGTCTTTGGGTCTTCGGACTGTGCTTGGTCTGGAACCTCCCCCACGGCCACTTCTGGGAGTGCACGACTCCAGTTGTTGTGTCTGCAGGTTCATTGGAACACACAAGCCCCCTCACCACGACAAGGTGACAATCCATTGAGGAGACGAGCAAACCACTGACCACCTGCTGCAATGCACCCTGAGTCCTGCTACATGCACAATGGAGGACCTTCTTGCAGCAACACCAGAGGCACTCCAAGTGGCCAGATACTGGTCAAAGGACATTTAATCAACTACAAAGCTTGCAAACTTTGTGTTTTGTTTGTTTTTTTGGTTAAAAAATGCAATACAACTGTTTGGCTTGCTCCTGACACAATAAATAAATATATAATTCTACTCCCTTTTAAGCAGGCCTGGGCCAACTTGTGCTCTCCAGCTGTAATAATAACAACAACAACAATTTTATTTATACCCCGCCAGCATCTCCCCAAGGGACTAGGATCGGCTTACATGAGGTCAAGCCCCACAACACTGTGCTTGGAATGTTGCTTGGATATTGACAAGCTGCAATGTGTCCAGAGGAGGGCGACTAAAATGATCAAGGGTGTGGAGAACAAGCCCTATGAGGAGCGCTTAAGGAGCTGGGCATGTTTAGCCTGAAGAAGAGAAGGCTGAGAGGAGATATGATAGCCATGTATAAATATGTGAGAGGAAGCCACAGGGAGGAGGGAGCAAGCTTGTTTTCTGCTTCCTTGGAGACTAGGACGCGGAACAATGGCTTCAAACTACAAGAGAGGAGATTCCATCTGCACATGAGGAAGAACTTCCTGACTGTGAGAGCCATTCAGCAGTGGAACTCTCTGCCCCGGAGTGTGGTAGAGGCTCCTTCTTTGGAAGCTTTTAAACAGAGGCTGGATGGCCATCTGTCGGGTGATTTGAATGCTATATTCCTGCTTCTTGGCAGAATGGGGTTGGACTGGATGGCCCATGAGGTCTCTTCCAACTCTAGGATTCTATGATTCTACTGGGAGAGCCGTTCAGTAGTGGAACTCTCTGCCCCGGAGTGTGGTGGAGGCTCCTTCTTTGGAAGCTTTTAAACAGGGGCTGGATGGCCATCTGTCAGGGGTGATTTGAATGCTATATTCCTGCTTCTTGGCAGGGGGTTGGACTGGATGGCCCATGAGGTCTCTTCCAACTCTAGGATTCTATGATTCTACTGGGAGAGCCGTTCAGTAGTGGAACTCTCTGCCCCGGAGTGTGGTGGAGGCTCCTTCTTTGGAAGCTTTTAAACAGAGGCTGGATGGCCATCTGTCAGGGGTGCTTTGAATGCAATATTCCTGCTTCTTGGCAGAATGTGGTTGGACTGCATGGCCCATGAGGTCTCTTCCAACTCTTTGATTCTATGAACACATAAATAAAACAGAAAACCGATAAGCAAGAAACAATACAATCAATATAAATCACATATAAACAAAACCTATGGCCAGGCCATAGGTTGACAGAATGATCTCAATTCGAGTGCAAGGAAAGCCTTTCAACATCACAGTGATCCAAATATACGCCCCAACCACAGCTGCTGAAGAAGCAGAAGTAGATCAGTTCTATGAGGATCTGCAGGACCTACTGGATAATACACCAAAAAGAGACATTATTTTCATTACAGGAGACTGGAATGCCAAGGTGGGAAGTCAAATGACAACTGGGATCACAGGCAAGCATGGTCTGGGAGAACAAAATGAAGCGGGACGCAGGCTGATAGAATTTTGCCAGGAAAACTCGCTGTGTATAACGAATACTCTCTTCCAACAACCTAAAAGACGGCTTTATACATGGACCTCACCAGATAGTCAACACCGAAATCAGATTGACTACATCCTTTGCAGCCAAAGGTGGCGGACATCCATCCAGTCGGTGAAAACAAGACCTGGGGCTGACTGTAGCTCAGATCACGAACTTCTTATTGCTCAATTTAGAATAAAACTAAAGAGATCAGGGAAAATACACAGACCAGTTAGATATGATCTCACTAACATTCCTAGCGAATATACAGTGGAAGTGAAGAACAGATTTGAAGGACTAGATTTAGTAAACAGAGTCCCAGAAGAACTATGGACAGAAGTCCGCGACATTGTTCAGGAGGCGGCAGCAAAGTACGTCCCAAAGAAAAAGAAAACCAAGAAGGCAAAATGGTTGTCTGCTGAGACACTGGAAGTAGCCCAAGAAAGGAGGAAAGCAAAAGGAAACAGTGATAAGGGGAGATATGCCCAGTTAAATGCGCAATTCCAGAGGTTAGCCAGAAGAGATAAGGAACTATTTTTAAATAAGCAATGCATGGACGTGGAAGAAGACAACAGAATAGGAAGGACAAGAGACCTCTTCCAGAAAATTAGAAACATTGGAGGTAAATTTCAGGCAAAAATTGGTATGATAAGAAACAAAGATGGCAGGGACCTAACAGAAGCTGAAGAGATCAAGAGAAGGTGGCGAGACTATACAGAAGATCTGTATAGGAAGGATAACAATATTGATAGCTTTGACGGTGTGGTGAATGAATTAGAACCAGACATCCTGAGGAGTGAGGTTGAATGGGCCTTAAGAAGCATTGCTAACAACAAGGCAGCAGGAGACGACGGGATCCCAGCTGAACTGTTTAAAATCTAAAAGATGATGCTGTCAAGGTGATGCATGCCATTTGCCAGCAAATATGGAAAACACAAGAATGGCCATCAGACTGGAAAAAATCAACTTATATCCCCATACCAAAAAAGGGAAATGCGAAAGACTGCTCAAACTTCCGTACAGTGGCCCTTATTTCTCATGCCGGTAAGGTAATGCTCAAGATCCTGCAAGGAAGACTCCAGCAATACATGGAGCGAGAGTTGCCAGAAGTTCAAGCTGGGTTTAGAAAAGGCAGAGGAACGAGAGACCAGATTGCCAATATCCGCTGGATAATGGAGAAAGGCAGGGAGTTTCAGAAAAACATCTACTTCTGCTTCATTGACTATTCTAAAGCCTTTGACTGTGTGGATCATAATAATTGTGGCAAGTTCTTGGTGGGATGGGCATCCCAAATCACCTTGTCTCTCTCCTGAGGAATCTGTACAAGGACCAAGTAGCAACAGTAAGAACTGACCGAACACAGACTGGTTCAAGATTGGGAAAGGCGTACGGCAAGGCTGCATCCTCTCACCCAACCTTTTTAACTTGTATGCAGAACACATCATGCGATGTGCGGGGCTGGATGAATGCAAAGCTGGGGTGAAAATTGCTGGAAGAAACATTAACAACCTCAGATAGGCAGATGACACCACTCTGATGGCCGAAAGCGAGGAGGAGCTGAGGAGCCTTCTAATCAAGGTGAAAGAAGAAAGCGCAAAAGCCGGGTTGCAGCTAAACATAAAAAACCCAAGATTATGGCAACAAGAATGATTGACAACTGGAAAATAGAGGGAGAAACCGTGGAGGCCGTGACAGACTATGTATTTCTAGGTGCAAAGATTACTGCAGATGCAGACTGTAGCCAGGAAATCAGAAGACGCTTACTTCTTGGGAGGAGAGCAATGTCCAGTCTCGATAAAATAGTGAAGAGTAGAGACATCAGACTGGCAACAAAGATCCGCCTAGTCAAAGCCATGGTATTCCCTGTAGTAACCTACGGATGTGAGAGCTGGACCTTAGGGAAGGCTGAGCGAAGAAAGATCAATGCTTTTGAGCTGTGGTGTTGGAGGAAAGTGCTGAGAGTGCCTTGGACTGCGAGAAGATCCAACCAGTCCATTCTCCATGAAATAAAGCCCGACTGCTCATTGGAGGGAAAGATACTAGAGACAAAGTTGAAGTACTTTGGCCACATCATGAGGAGACAGGAAAGCCTAGAGAAGACAATTATGCTGGTGAAAGTGGAAGGCAAAAGGAAGAGGGGCCGACCAAGGGCAAGATGGATGGATGGCATCCTTGAAGTGACTGGACTGACCTTGAAGGAGCTGGGGGTGGTAACGGCCGACAGGGAGCTCTGGCGTGGGCTGGTCCATGAGGTCACGAAGCGTCGGAGACGACTGAACGAATGAACAACAACAACATGGCCAGGCCAAATGTAATAAATTTAAAATTAAAAAAAAAAAAACACTGGGCATGAACAGAGGTAGGATGTATCTGATTAGGAGGGTTTTAAAAGAAATGCAGAGCAATCCAACGTGTAGTTTTGGACTTCAACTCTCACAATTCCTAACAGCAGTCCAAAACACCTGGAAGGAGGACTGAAGTTTGCCTGGTTTCTAAGAGAAGCCCTTGCCAGTAAAAGGCCAATGGAACTTCAATTCCCAGAAGCCTCAGCTGTTGCGCCCAATGAGCAGCGTCTCTGGGAGTTGAAGTCCAAAGCCTTTCAACCAATCGCCTCTCGCTTTGTCCCAATCCGCCCTTTCTATTGGACACACGGCACGCATGCTCATCAGAGAGGGAAAAATGGGCGGGAGTGCGCGCCTCTCCCTCTTCCTACGCGTCCCACCGTATTGTCCCTGCGCGCGCTTTTGACGTCACGCGAAGGAGTCGCAGCTACCCTGTCGGACGCAGCAGATTCGCCATAATCCTAGCCTAGCCGGGCTTTTAATCCCTTCCATTTCCCCACAGATTCCGAGCCTCCTGTTCGATATGGAAGGGCCTTCGACAGGTAAGAGAGAAAGAGAAAAAGAGAAAAGCCGACTCGGGAAAAGAGAGCGGGGCGGAGGGATTCCAAGGAAAGTGAAAGAGACCAAAGAGGAGGAGGAACTAACAGAAGTAATGACCACTTCAGGTTCTAATTCGAAGCTTGAGTGGAGAATGTTAGGAAAGCAGTAGCTCGGCCCCGCAAATGGTGCTTAGGGATGGGAACGCAGCCGGAAATGGTGCATAGCTGTTGCAGAACTCTTTGACAGAGCTCTTTAGAGTTTCAGTGACCGTTGAATGTGTTGTCTTCCAAAGAGGGGAAGCAGTTCTGCCCTTTTCTTGCGCCTGCGCAGTGGTGTCTTCTTTCTGACAGTTCAGTCCAATGTTTTTCAAACTGTGCCAGGGCATCTAGAGCAGGCTTGAGCCAACTTGGGCCCTCCAGGTGTTTTGGATTTCAACTCCCACAATTCCTAACAGCCTACGGCTGTTAGGAATTGTGGGAGTTGAAATCCAAAACACCTGGAGGGCCCAAGTTGGCTCAAGCCTGCTTTAAAGGGAGTAAATAGGTTAATCTATCTATCTATCTATCTATCTATCTATATAAATGCTCTGTGCATAATGCATACCTTAAAAACAAAAGAACTGCAAAGAGGGAACGTTCCAATGCCACCGAATGTCACCAATTTGAGATAGATTGCCACACCGCTGACACCAATTTGTAAAAGTATCCCACTTCGCCAGTTTCCACGGGATTTGTTTTACTGTGGTTAACAACACTGGCCAATCTGCGAAGGTATTCCACCTAATACTGTTTAAATCTCCAAAGGTTTGCTCATTTATAAAAGGTGTAGATAATTATAGATGTAATTCAGGTAACTGCCACCAACGAGAGGTAATGCCGATGAGAACTAGTTCCCCAGACGCAGATATATAGAGATGACACTGTCTTCAAACAAAAGTTAATAAGTTTATTTTGAACAAAGTGTATGCTTGCAGGCTGTTTGTTTACTTGGAATAACTTAGAGAACTTGTAGAACTTTAAATGTAACTCGGTTTGCAATACAGTTCACACTTCTGGATGATACAACTTGTAATTGACTTTTACTGTGGTGAAGCACTTTCCTAAACAATGTTTCCTGAGGTGAACAGCCTTCCTGTTTGATCCTTTCTTGATCAAACCCTAGATCTCTAGTTCTTTCCTAACTAATGATCTAAACAAGCTTCACTTAGTCTTCTCTGACTAATGAAACTAATCAGGTCCCCACTCCCCCCTCAACCTTCCTAGATTGAAGAAACCTCAGACTATTTACAAACACTGCTTCTCTACTTCCCCTCTTCTCTCTTGACTGCTCATTCTGAACTCCAAACCCTAACTAACTGCTTCATTTCAAAATGCAGATAGATTTCTCTCACTAGGCTCCGCCCACTTTCCACTCTCTCCTGCCTGGTCTCCTTGGCAACGCCACAGTGAATACAACCAGTTAGTTCTAGTTTTCAGCTACTGTTACCAAACAAATAGTTAAACAGTTCAAATACATATACCTAGTTTCAATAACTTCCTTACAGAACCAATGAACGAAATCATACCAAATTTGGCAACAAAATGTCTCACAACACAAGGAGTGACTATCACTCAAAAAATTATTATTTTGTCATTCGGAAGTTGTAGTTGCTGGGTTTTATAGTTCACCTATAATCAAGGAGCATTCTGAACTCCATCAATGATGGAATGGAACCAAACTTGGCACACAGAACTCCCATGACCAACAGAAAATACTGGAGGTGAGCTATAAATCCAAGTAACTACAACTCACAAATGTCAAGGTCTATTTCCCCAAACTCCATCTGTGTTCATATTTGGGCAAATGGAGAATTCGTGCCAAGTTTGGTCCAGTTCCATCATAATTTGAGTTCACAGTGCTCTCTGGGTGTAGGTGAACTACAACTCCCAAACTCAAGGTCAATGCCCACCAAACCGTTCCAGTATTTTCTGTTGGTCATGGGAGTTCTGTGTGGCAAGATTGGTTCAATTCCATCATTGATGGAGTTCAGAATGCTCTTTGATTGTATGTTAAGTATAAATCCCAGCAACTACAACTCCCTAATGACAAAATCAGTGCCCCCCAAACCCCACCAGTATTCAAATGTTGGCATATTGTGTATTTGTGCCAAATTTGGTCCAGTGAATGAAAATACATTCTGCATTTTTGGGTGATGGCCACTCCTTGGGTTAGTAGGTGTCTTGTGTCCAAATTTGGCGGCAATTCGTCCAGTGATTTTTGAGTTATGTTAATCCCACAAACGAACATTACATTTTATTTATATAGATTGTGTTACATTTTGTTTGAATATTTGTCAGCCTCCTTGGGTGCTGTTTTAGGCGGAAACGCAGGGTTGACATTTAACTATAAATTCTACAAATTAACCAAATAAAAAAAATAGGCTATTTTGACCTCTCAACTTTAAAAGACACAATCAGCCAAATCGCTGATTTAACCATTCTGCAGATAATTGGACTAGACCCAAAGTAATGCTGATGATTTTTATAGGTGGAAATGAGAATAGCTATTCCTAGAGGAAGCCACCAGAGAGAGCCTTCCACATTTGCTGATGTTCAGGATGGAGGACACATAAAAACCCACATAAAATATATTTTTAATGTGACAGAACATTTTTTAAGAACGGCTAAGTCCTCTGGCACAACTGTATGTATAATCTGGATTTTATATGTCAGTGTAGGTGTGGCCTGAGAATACACACCAAAATTTAAGTAGATTCAGAAAATAAGTCTCCTCTTTAGACAATTCTTATTATATACCAGCCATTGCAAATTAAATCTTTTCTCCAACTGCTCATTTAATCAACTAGACTACTACATTTATGCTTCTGTGGTATGTGCATTTGGTTGAATTTAAGTGTCACTGAGCTCATATGATTGTACTATCACTTCGTATTGACAAGAGTTCCCCATCACAAATGAGACAGTATGAGGGATGGAAGAGAGACATGTTTTCTGTTCTGTCGATTGTGGGTGATTTTGCATGTTTCTTATGATCCTGCCTGGCCATTTTGCTGTCAGAATGAATTCAATTCCAAATTAAAAATTTAAAAAGCATTGTTGTTGTTGTTGTTGTTGTTGTTGTTGTTGTGATGGGACGAACCAATGGTTAATCCATTTGGCCAGAAATGGAAAAGAAAATACAGATTTGTATATTTTGGCAAATGGTAGATTTGCGTGAAGCCCAGAGAAGCGGATCGATGACAAATCGGATAGAATAGAATTATAGTTGTTTTTGTATCCTTTCACACTCTCAAGTTGCAATTTCAGACAACTTACAATAATTTTTTTAAAAAATAAAGCAAAATATGTTTTTTTTTCATATTGAATGAATATGAAATATGATTGATTTGCATAGCAAATGAGGCTGAACCAGGTTTCTGTAAAGTTGCCTATGCCAAATTCTTCATCCAGTTCCTTGACTCTTTGTGTTAACTTTTCTGACAGAGGTAAGTCTATGTTTATGTTTTTCTCTGCCATGCTATAACTTTCTGCAGATATAAGTAACAATGTGTTTTGATCCTTATGTGATAACTGAATGTTGGAATCACTAGAAAGCATTTTCTGGGCGACCTAGGGCACACTTTCTCAGCCTCAGAGGATGGCCAACACAACCCTCTTCAGAACAAATCTTGCCAAGAAAACTCTGGGATTGGTTCTCTTCAGAGTTTCCATAAGTTGGAAAAGACTTAATGAGACACAAAAAAGCAGTGGTAACTTTTATATAATAAACCCAGGATATTAGTAAACAGTGTAAACCTCATCTTTGTCCTTCCACACAGCTGTATGAAATCCCACATCTGCTTTGAACTGTATTGTATGTCAGTGTGGACTCAGATAACCTAGTTCAAAGCGGATTATCTGCCTTGATATTCTGGGGTATATGGCGGTGTGGAAGGGCTTAACAAGTATTTTTAAGTTTCCAGCTGTGAGAAAAATAGATACCTTCAATTCAATGGTTAATTCAGGATTTTGAGTTGCTTCCAGCAAGAAAAGGTCCTAATGTTGTTTAAAGTATTCTCCAGACAATGTTTCAAAGGGAAATGTTAAAAGAAAAGCATTTTCTAGGGAGAAAATTTGCAGCAAAGGAGAACAAGAAATAAGAAAACTAAAGGTATTTTGAGAGTAAGGCAGAGAAAAAGCCTCAGGCCTCCAGCTCAAGCAGCTTAAGACATCAGAAGCCAAGCAGAGAGAAGAGAACCCAAGCCCAGCAGTTTTGATCCTTGGTTTCAAGGAAAAATGTACATAACTATATTTTTCCTTGTTAATCTCTGAAACCTTGCTTATACTCACACCCCAGTCTTGTTAAAACTTTATATTAACTAATTACTCTTTCAAAATTGGTTGTGAAATCTTACTTTCATAAGGTGTCTTGTAGACTCTCACTATCCAGACTTAAATTGTAAACTATTGTCTTAAACAGTTCTTCTAGGTAGCCAGCCATGCTATCACAAATCTGCTATCCATCTTTTAATTGAAGCAGAGATCTTGGATTTGAAAAATTGGAATGATGCAAAAGGTGCATTTACAACAGGATGCACAACAAAGACCTTCCAAGAAGGAGGGAAAGGAGGAACATGAAAGACAGACAGACAGACAAAGGTGCAAGACTCAAAAGAGAAAGAGTGACGATTCCAAATAATCAGGGGCTTGGGTGCCCATGGAGGGAATTAATGAATTCATATTTGTTGAGACTTCTCTTCCATGGGAGCAGCAAGCTCTCAGCCTCAGTTAAATGGACAAATGACCTGAGCTCATCTTAGTGACAAAGGGGATCATCTGTTTGGCGCACACGCACAAATGTCCTGATATTATCTGACTTTGGAAATAGCTGGAGGGACCCTGGACGTGATCTCTGTTCCCAAGGGATCATGCAAACTGAGGGCATGGGGAGTTAGCTGCCTTCAAGATGTACTGGATACATTTAGAATGGACACAGTATGCAAATAATACAAGTTACACACAAA